TGGGATCATGACCTGAGCCGAAGGCAAATGCTTAACTGAATGAGCCACCCATGTGCCCCACAACTTTTTTTTTTTTTTTTAAGATTTTACTTATTTTTGCTAGAGAGAGAAAGCACAAGCATAAGCTGGGGGGAGGGGCAGAGGGTGAACAGGAAGCCCGATGTGGGATCCATCCCAGGACCCTGGGATCATGACCTGAGCCACCTAGGCTCCCCCCACAGGGAGCACAACTTTAAACCAAGAAGGTCACTTACCAAGAACATTTAGATAATGAAGTTTCAGTACACCCATAATAAAACTTTTCAAAGGCATTGTCAGTAAAGCTAGAATTTTCTTGTTTTTGATTTTGTATTTTATTAGCAATAGCTAGAGTCAAGACTGAGTAGTTTTCTTTTATTATACTTTCTGTAGTAGTTGTATTATCCAAGTTCCAACTTTTCTTGTGACTTTAGAGTTCTGCTTTGGAGTCTTAAGAAGTAGAAAGTCATTCAGTATAGATAGACCTTACTGAAATAAATTGGTAATTTTTTATTTTGAGTGAAAGCCCATGGTTCACTTCTTGGTTGATCTCAGCTGCATGAAATCTTCCGTGTTCCAAAGAGGAAAAGTTATGTTTAAGAAGTTTTGTTTGCTGTTGCTAATTTATGCTTTCAGTTGCTATTGGCAAACGTTCCCATGGGTGATGAAGCATAGAAGGTGGAGGAAACACCTTCATACTTTGAAATCTTAATAGCTTTAAGAAACTTGTTTCTTATAATCTCTATTTATTAGATTTTTTTTCCTCAGGATAAAGTGAAGCATACTTTAATACAAGTAATATGACAGGTTATTTCAGGCTTACGCTGGAACATTGCAAATCTTATTTCAGCAGATACACTTTCTGACAGGTTGATGGTTATCTAATCTGTACATTATCTTGTTGTATATGCAAACCCCAAGGATTGGCAATACAATTTGCTAGAAGGAAAATTTAATCCTTTTGAAATGTATTTTTTGTTGCAGAAGAGGATGAGTCGGCATTAAAGAGGAGTGAGCTTGTTAACTGGTACTTGAAGGAAATTGAATCAGAAATAGATTCCGAAGAGGAACTTATAAATAAAAAGAGAATCATAGAGAAAGTCATTCATCGACTCACCCACTATGTACGTACAGAACTACTCCTGCATGATTATTAATGGGGGAGGGAGTCCATGCCTCATGTTCATTTATTTTGAATTCTTGGGATCTACTTAGAATTATGAATTGTAAAAAAGAATTTACAGCAGTTAATTGACTTCTTTCCTCTGCTGAAACAAGCAGAACCTAAGTTAAATCTGGAAAGGTGGATTTAGGGTCTTACTGTCTTGAGTGTTTTTTGTTTTGGTTTTTTTTTAAGATTTTATTTATTTATTTATTTGAGAGAGAGAGCACATGAGAGGGGGGAGGGTCAGAGGGAGAAGCAGACTCCCTGCTGAGCAGGGAGCCCGATGCGGGACTCGATC